ATTTTCGCGATTAGGGTCAAGTTCGGAGTAGAAGCGATACACACTATAAGGGTCGTTTTTTGAGGTCCCTGATCTCTAGGGGTCAGGAAAAGGCCTAGCACCAAGGCCAAGCGCCCTCCAGGGGGGGGGGACCACAGACCACGCCCGGGACTGTGGCAAACTCCCCAGAGGGACTGCAGTCCATGCCCGGGACTGTAAGCAGTCGTATAAGCCTCACGGCAGCAAGCGACTTAAACGAGAAAGAAAGAAAAGAACAGTCGAAAGAAAATAGCATAATGTTCTTGTGCAAATAAGGGGTGTGTATCTGTACGCATGTAGGTTCGTACGTACGTAGACGAGGAGTGTGTATCTGTACGCATGTAGGTAGGTTCGTACGTAGACGAGGAGTGTGTATCTGTACGCATGTAGGTACGTACGTACGTACGTACGTAGACGAGGGGTGTGTATCTACGCATGTAGGTAGGTTCGTACGTAGACCAGGAGTGTGTATCTGTACGCATGTAGGTAGGTTCGTACGTAGACGAGGAGTGTGTGTCTGTACGCATGTGGGTAAGTACGAACGTAGATGAGGGGTGTGTAACTGTACGCAGATAGGTAGGTACGTACGTAGACGAGGGGTGTATATCTGTACGCATGTAGGTACGTACATACGTAGACGAGGGGTGTGTAACTGTACGCATGTAGGTAGTTATGTACGTAGACGAGGGTGTATATCTGTACGCATATAGGTAGGTACGTACGTAAACGAGGGGTGTGTAACTGTACGCAGATAGGTACGTACGTACGTAGACGAGGGGTGTGTATCTGTACGCATGAAGGTAGTTACGTACGTAGACTAGGGTGTATATCTGTACGCATGTAGGTACATACGTGCGTAGACGAGGGGTGTGTATCTGTACGCATGTAGGTAGTTAAGTACGTAGACGAGAGGGAACATAGATGATTGGGTAAGTAGCCTTTCACAGGAAATGTATGTACATGTTTGCGTAATTATTCTTCAACCTTTCACTCTAGGTGGTATAAGTATGTATGTATGTATGTATGTATGTATGTATGTATGTATGTATGTATGTATGTATGTATGTATGTATGTATGTATGTATGTATGTATGTATGTATGTATGTATGTATGTATGTATGTATGTATGTATGTATGTATGTTTGTAGGTAGGTAGTTAGGTAGGTAGGTAGGTAGGTAGGTATGTATGTATGTGTGTGTGTGTGTATGTATGTATGTATGTATGTATGTATGTATGTATGTATGTATGTATGTATGTATGTATGTATGTATGTATGTATGTATGTATGTATGTATGTATGTATGTATGCATGTATGTATGTATGTAAGGATGCATGTATGTATGTATGTATGTATGTAAGGATGCATGTATGTATGTATGTATGTATGTATGTATGTATGTATGTATGTATGTATGTATGTATGTATGTATGTATGTATGTATGTATGTATGTATGTATGTATGTATGCATGTATGTATGACAAGATCATGGAGTCCGTGACTAAAAGTCGTGGAGACCATTTACACGTCCCCCAGTCAGAAGGACTTGTACTCCGTGACCAAAATACATATCATCGTTAAACCGGTATTTTTGGGACAATAATTACCAGTTAAACAATAATACGTCAATTAAAAATACAACAATTAACCATCGATAAATAATCCTTTGCTTTATAAAGGGCGCTAGGTACACACAAATTTAGATTTAATCTATTATTTTGCTTCAGCATATTTTAAAAGATAGAGAAAAAATTAAACACACATGCACAAAGGTGTTGTAGTCAACAGTGTAGAGCAAATTCAGATTAAAATATCATCCTTTATCAAACGTATTGACTGTTTTCAGTCAAGGTCCTACACATTCATTCATTCACTGATAATAGAAATGTATCCTTCATTATAGCTATTCGTCAATGATTATAGCTTTGCATCACTGATTATAGATATACATTATTGATTATAGTTATTCACCAATAGCTATACATCATTGATTATAGTTATTCACCAATTGTTATAGTTATTGATTATAGTTATTCATCATTTGTTATTGTTATTGATTATAGCTATACATCATTGATTATAGTTATTCACCGTTTGTTATATTTATTCATCATTGATTATGGTTATGCATCATTGATTATGGTTATGCATCACTGAGTATGGTTATGCATCATTTGATATTGTTATGCATCATTTGTTATACTTATGCATTATTTGTTATAGTTATGCATAATTAATTATGGTATGCATTATTGATTATAGTTACGGTTTAGTGCCAAAGACTAAAACTGAAAATTTAATGTTTGTGCAATTTTGTAAAAAAAAAAAAGTTTTGTTGCACAACGTGCAAAAGTAATAAGACAAACATATTTTAAATTTTGTATTTTAGTTTTTCATTTTTGCTTATCTAGAAATAGTTGAACGTTAAACTTGTGCATAAGCGATTCTTATTAACAGGCAGTTTTGTTTATGAGATTGCCATTACATGCTTCAAAAACCCTGAATAAAGTACTCGTATAACAATATATCATGTTAACACTTCTCTATTTATATGATATTTAAGTACTTAATTTAAGCTACTTTGTTATAGGTCAAAGTCAGCAGCTACACGATTCTTGTTATATTCTACATCATTGTTCAGAGTATTAGCCGCTCTTGTCATATTGCACAACGTTATCTCAGAGTATTATCTGCCCTTATTAGTTGACCACGAGTGGCCGAGTGTGGTCTAAAGCGATCTCCGTTATGGATCACTGCCATCTCACCTCTGTCTGCGTTGGTTCGAGTCTAAGATTAGGCGAATGTGGATATGTGAGAAAGCTTGCCAGTATGTTCTCGTCGGTCGGTGGTTCTTTCCGCGGATTTCCCGGTTTCTTTCTCCACCATTAATACTGGACGCCATGTATAACCTATCGTGTGCTGAAAAAAATGGCGTTAAGCCCCAGAACAACAACAACAACAACAACTGCCCTTGTTATGGTATCACAGTACCAATTGTTTTTGTTCCATATACCTCAATGCTGATGTTTTATGAAATTTACTTTCTATCCTAATTCAGCATGTATTACGCACTGTCATAGAGAACAATGTTAGTTTGTCAATTTGACAAGGACAGAACCAGGTACTCCATTGCGTTTGAGTTAACTGTTGGAACTAGACAGGGTAAGAGTGATCTAGTCACAACAGACACATTTTCAGTAGTGTACCACAATTAAACAATTTTAAAAAAAATACAAAATGTGATCTAGATATGACTCAACGCAATCTAATATGTTACCAAGAGGCTGAACATTTTTTAAAGCCTAACATAAAATACAACTCTTAAAAAATACACAGTTAGTTTTCTTGTTTATTTCTGAATGCAAGGTTCCCACACCTTAAGCTCCGCCCATATGGGTTTGTACAATTGGTACTGTTATGCCTTATATTCCACAAGTCACACAGTATTATATCGACGCCGCAGGTTACAAACAAAATTAGAAAATTAGTTCGTTGAGGAAATAAAACCCATCCTAAGGTAAATCATACAGTCACTAAAAAGTAAAAACAACAAGGAAACAGTTAAGAGAATTAACGAAAACGTAAAAACTTCAAACAACAGCTATATTATCAAAATTATTGGGAATCCACATGGAAAACATTCTGGAAATACACCAACAGCCAGGGAAATTTTCCATGGTATTGCTCCACTCAAGACAGGTTTAAAAACAAAACAAACAAACAAACAAAAAAACAACAGATGCTGTAAAAATTAAAACATTCAATACCCAATTATGCAGTGTTGGTAGCCGCTGCTGTGACTGACTGAACTGGTATTAACGACGTGTGGGGCGATTCGGTTATGTATGTTGATATACCCAGAAACAAAGGTTAAAAGATGTCCGCACAGCGTATTAATTAACTGCTCGTCGAGTGGGAAAGTAACTGTCACTCGAAGCTTTAATGCATGCAGCGCATGCTTCTTAATTATCATGTCTGGGTACCGCTAGGCAGAAGTTCTGCCGGGGTCACCAAGCTGCAGCAAACCTCTTCAGAAACGCCATGGATGTTCTATCCATTAGATTCTGCCCATTGATTTAATCTGGGCTGTTCCTAACACAAAATGACGAGTAAGCCAAACTTGGAACTGGAATCAAGGTTTAGCGTGTTTCAATATTTTCCTATCCAACACTCATTTTGATTAAATATTTTATGTACATAGCGCACCTTTAAGGCTAAAAAATAAATGCAATTTGAATCCAAAAGTTGGCTACAGTAAACCTTGACTATTTATTTTCTGGTTTTAATGAGAATTACAGTCTCGGATTCGGCAAATGTGGGTATGTGAGAAAGCTTGCCAAAAACTTCTCGTGGGTTGCTGGTTCTTTCCCGGGTTCTTTCTCTACTATTAATACTAGCTGCTATGTATATCCTATCTTGTGCTGAAAAATGGCGTTAAACCCTTCAGCAATTGGATAGCGGTAGAGAAAGGGATCTTTGTCAATGCGTTAGACTATATTTTCCTCTTTGGACGTCTTCTTTTACGTAGTCTACCGCACCCCCATTTCTGCTAACTTTGTACTTACTCATTGCGGTGATATTGCCTTACAATATTCTATTCCACCATTACCTACCAATGAATAAATTAGTAGCAATTGCATAACAACTGTGTCATTTCCGGAAGTAACGTTGATTGTCAGATACTACAAAAACAAATTATCTAAGTGATTCACGATTCTAGAAATAGGCACAATTTGCGGTGCAACACAGTCATTATGATGTACCACAAAATTAATCAAGATGAGATGATCATTTACACACATACACTCTCTCTCTCTCTCTCTCTCTCTCTCTCTCTCTCTCTCTCTCTCTCTCTCTCTCTCTATATATATATATATATATATATATATATATATATATATATATATATATATATATATATATATATATATATATATATATATATATATATATATATAGATATATATTAAATCTTTGTTATGATTCGACCGGGTATCAAACCCACGACCTCCCGCATCCGAGGCGGTTGCTATAACCACTAGGTCACCGGGGCGGTTTGATCACATATATGCAATCTCTTTCTGTATGCAAAGTGTGATTTGAACTCAACATTTGCAAATAGATAAACACGATACTCTGTATCAGTGTTCTGTACTGCAGTGAATTGCAAATGGATTTACATCAGACGGAGGACTGGTTTTAGTTATCTAGAGGATGGTCGATCTCGTTGCCTCGATTGAATGCCAAACGATAAAATGAAATTGATGGATCGAATGAATTGAGATCTTAGCAATGACATGAGCCTCCTGCTATAAAATATATTAATTTAGCAAATTATATGCAACAAATCTAATTGTTCAAGACATTTTGTAAGAAAAATATTTGCCAAAAGTTATTTAGAAAATGCAATTAGTAGTTTGGCTTATACAGTTGTGAAAATTTGCATCTTAAAATTGAGTTAGACTATTCGAACTCAGTTGTCCAGCTACATAACCTGCTGACTGGCTACGTGCCACTCAAGATTAAGCACCGGTAGTAGGTTGAGTTTAATTTATCCTTCTTACTTTTCATGCGATGCGGCCTATAGTAACCTCTATGCTGCATCCAGCTTCAAGGCTGCAATATGCATCCCTTCTACGTCCCTGTTTCCCTTTTCAAATAAATAAGTAGGCATCCTAAATAGTTTGTTAGGTCCTTACTAATCGTCAGAAAATCAATTCCTCTATATCGTCAAATCATTATTCAAACAAACACTAATTGATAATGTGGTTCATAGGCCTCTCCTTTGCATACGACATCAATAAACAAAAAAGGAAACTAATGTATTCCCTTAATGCATCAATTTACCAAATTACATCTATATCGAGTATTGTTTGTCAACAGAACATAGTACATGACGATTAAAGTATGTCTCTACCAGACTAATTAAGAGAACTAATCGACCTGCAGGCATTCTATTGCTAGTAAAATCGATACTCGCCTAGAACAGTTCACATCTTAATCATACAAACAAATTAATGAAATTCACATCATGTATTAACTACAATATTTGTTTACTAATAATACAGTGCCATCAGTTCCTATATACAAATACAATATCAATTCCACACATACACCATTGATAGTTCACATAATAAATGAATTTAAACAATTATCTCAGGATTGTTATAAAGTACATAATATATTAAATTCTTACAATACATGAGTCATATGACATTCAAGAAAAATAAATTCAAGCAATTACCTTTAAACTTCTATCAAGAAAATAATGTATGAAACTAAGATACAGTACCTTGCTCTCTAATCCCCTTTTACAGACTCGTCTATTTTTTATTTTACAGAATCGTTTCTCAAAAATTCCAATACACGTTTTTTGAACTTTTATTGTACGACAAAAATACTCACTGTTTTCCCAGAAGTCAATCCTTTTATCTCACACAAAACTTTGACTAATTTTGCAAAGTAAAGCATTTATAAAACACAAATTTCGCATGGGAATCACATGCCTTATTTAGCTTAGCCAGTCAGAATTAGATTTATCTAATCACCCTTATTAACACACGCCCAATTAGTTTTATTTAACTCCTCATATATCGTGCCTTTAATATTTGCAGATCCTGGAAAATTTCTTCTCATGCCAGACATTTCAACAAATAAGAATGATGTCTCTGCATTATTTCAACTCTTGGAATTTTCCGATACTAAGAACTGAGTTAATCTCGCCTTGGCTGATCTGCCTTGCGGTCATCAGACGATCAATAATGCCCACACCAGGGACATTAAAACACCGTATTCGGAATCACAAACTAGTGTTAATGTGTTACGTATACATATTCATCAATTTAATTGGCTATGTGTCAGCTGACCCTGCAACGTTAACTCAGTTATATATTGCCATATGTTACAAAAATTATGCTGGTACACGCTTGACTCCCATTACTTGACATAGAACCGTGAAGGGGTTGAAAGTGTCCTTATAAATCCAAACAAGAGCAATGACTTTTTCAAAATGTTTGATGATATATTAAGTGATATAAAAAATTCCAAAAACGAATCGAGCAAATATAGTGAAGCGCAATGAAGTATTTGCCCATGTTTGGCAGGACACTGGCTTGTTCGATTTAAAGGGACACATGCTTATCAGTTTCTGCCAACAAAAAGGGTTTTGCAAGCAACAGTTTATGTACTCGCGAATATGACTAAGATATTTACACTGAAATATGACAGAAATTTTGACACTGCAATATGACAAATACGACAAAGACATTTACAGTGGAATATAACAAGATATTTACACTGGAATATGACAGCGGCATTCACACTGGAATATGACAAATATATTCACTCTGTAATTATGACAAAGACATTTAAACTTGAGTATGACAAAGAGATTTGCACTATAGTATGACAAAGGTATTTATAATGGAATATGACAAAGACATTTACACTATAGTATGGCAGACATTTACACTAAAGTATGACATAGACATTTACGCTATATTATGACTAAGATATTTACTGTGGAATATAAAAAAGACTATTCTCCTATAAGTTCACCGATGTTGCTGTAATTGACACTATTGATCTATTGCCCACTGCGTGTTTCCTTTTTTAAGTTATGGCTCCTAAATATATTAATTTACAAAAAGTAAATCCTCTGATAGAATACAATCACCGTTCAAAAAGAAATTGTTGGGCGCTCAAGGGCCTACAAAAAATGAGTTTATATTTAGTGAAATTGCTAACAGTAACGTTATGCGATACTGTCAGATGATTTATGAGAAATAAACATTGCCAAAACAGTGTTCTGTTAGATGAAACAAAATATGTACAGCTTAGTACAATATGATAACAAATGATATCACTGTTGCGAGGAGAGCAGAACTGTGCTACACAGTCAGACTTTTATTATCTAATCAATAATTTTATCAAATTGAGATTTTTTTTTCATGGTTTGGGTGATATACTTTTCTTTTTTCTAAAGGAAAACGTTATCTTGTAATTTATTCAAAATTAGAATGCTAAATAGACAGAATCATAATGAAATATTGTCTAACTGAACTAGTGACTTTTCATCTGTCCATATTATCCAGAAGAAATCAGTGTATGAAAATATATAAACGGTAAAATAGCACCAAGAAGCTAATCCCATCCTAAACATAATTTATATATGTATGTCTTGGTAGAATTTAATGAACTACAATAAGAAAATCTTGACATACAATGACCAAGGCTGGAGATTTAACCTGGCTTATGGAATAGACCAAAGTAAGACTTATAGAAAACTGGACCTAATTGAAGGAATAGACCAAATACGACTTCAAGAACATTAAACCTGGTTTATGGACTAGACCAAATAAGATTTCCAGAAAAGTGAACCTTGTTGGTGAAATATACAAAATAATACATTAAAAAAATGAACCTAGTTAAAGGAATAGACTCAATAAGACTTCAAGAACATAACATTTGGTTGATGGAATAGCCCAAATACAACTTCCAGCAAATTTAACTATGTAAATAATATATACGAATAGAAAATGAATGTAGTTTTATTATAGAATGTATTTGGAAATTAAGAATAAATATTTGACTATATATAATTGGAGATATCTGTGTTACTTTAATATCTACTTTTAATGTGAATTTTATTAGTAATTCGATATACTTTCTATGATGCTTTTCAGATGAGAAATATTGGGTTACTCCAGCTATTTCCTTTGCTTGGTACATTACGTTAAATTATAATTATATCGTATTGATAATTGCAAAAACTGTATACAAATCTTTGTTTCAATATGCAAGAATAGTGAGTCATTATTTACTTGATATATGCTGTTTTAGTGCCTATATGTAATTCAGATGTGAATTATTTCCTACATATATTATTTAGTTTGTATAAGGAATAACTGTATTTTTAATATTGCATGCAACATTGCTTAAAAAGCGAAGAAGACAAGTTAACTACTCGTCCATTTTATTGTAATGCATTTATGTTTGTCTCTATATATATAGAGATAAACGACTGCAGATAGAAACGGTATCCACAATACTTCAAACTCCAATGAAAACAGCCCGGCTTTGCCCCAATTAAGTAACTAAATGTAGGAGTTTTAAAATGCCACCTCTGAACAAATTATAAACGCATGAAAGCAACAAGATTAAAACCGTATCCCATTTGACTGCTAAAACCGTATCACATGTGACAGCTTGATATGTTCAACTGTATAACGTTTAACAGGTTCGGATTTAATAACAACCGACCCAGGGCGTAAAGTCGGGGTTGGGTGGGGGCGCACGGCTCTGGTATTTAAAAGCTGAACAAATGGAAAAGGGATGGACAGATACCAAAAAGGCTTATCGCCTGTGGTGCCATTGGATAAAAGACCGGGCCATGTATCTGGGTTGCCAAGGATACGTTCAGTCGTAGTGTTTGGGTTGCAAAAGATAAGTTCATTTGTACGATGTATGCAATGCAAAGTGAGTAAAATGAGCAGTTGATTGAACTATTTTATGATTTTTGTAGTATCAATTTTAAATAGCAAAATGTTGTTGTTACATCGATCATTTGAATCGCAAAATGGTCGAACACATTGTGTCAGATAAAAGAACCAGCTCTTTGTACCGTTAAACACCTATCTTACCTTATAGCGGGACATTTTTGTGGAGGAGAAATGTTAGCGATTTAGAAGATTTAGATCACGATCGCATACATCAATTTTTGAATAAATTTACCACACTAAATATAATAGCCTGTTTAGATTCATCATGGCTCATACATACGGACATACGACTGAACGTAAATATTTCAACTGATACATGTAATAAATCCATTGAAAGCTTGATATCGAATTAGAAATTTTATTATATTAACACATTTATAATTATGAAAACACTTGCATGTAGTCAATGATCACACTGTTATTTAAAATCAGCATTATATGTTGTGTGTTAGGACTACAGACACCTTGGTAAGGTAATCAAAGAGGTACAGTAATGGGCATAATAATATCGTCATGCAAACGAACTTTAAAATTAAATAGCACTTCGTTTAAA